TACAGCTGCTTCTGTCGAGACATTAGAAGTGTACTCCAATCAATCTGTGTCTGACAATCACATGTGCATGTGTATGTGCGGATGTATGGAATTCAAGATTCTTCGCGCTCAGAGCAATACAACATGTAACAGTGTATTGCATCCGATTTGAGTCCAAATCTCTGAATTCATTCGAAAATGAAAAAATTCAAACACTTTTCTAACTTACCGAGTTTTATTTTCTCTCCTGTTTTACAATCACTTTTTTTTCCCAGATGACACAAAATTATTCCAAGTCCTATTGTTGTTCACTTCACCTTAGTTTACTTCAATTTACTTCAGTTTAGTTATTCACTTGTTGGCTGCACAGTTGAGACTGAATTCTGCTCTGAAATTGCGCGGTATTTATACAAACACAGCAAATACAGAGCTTCGGAGTTGAGCTGCGTGAATTTTTGGGGGACGAATCATTTTCGTTACTGTTAACAACGTCAATTTCTGTAATTCGAACAATCAAATATTTCATTATTTCTACGTAGTCGTAGTCGTTGTCCAACCCTTCAAAACCGGTGCTGAATACGATTGGTATATCAGCCAAATTTTCGGCTTCGGATAGTTGTTCTGGCGGCTTTGGATGGTTATTAGCCGGAACCGATTCGTTGGCTGGAACCACTTCTTTTGCCGAAACTCCCAAGCGCGACTCCACACTTAGCTTCTAAATGTGACACCGTAGTAAGTGTGGGCATACGTTTTGCGAATAAGCGACAAAGAGAATGGAAACAAGTGCACGTGTGGTAGTGAGTAGCCTGATGCGATGCTTCTCATGTAGCGACTAATACACTTACTACGGTGTCACATTTAGAAGCTAAGTGTGGAGTCGCGCTTGGGCATCCAGCTCGTTGAATGTTTTGAGAAAATAGTCAAAACCATACATACAACGTCACTTTGTGTTCCAATTATTCTGATGAAAATCACCGAGCGTGGTTCAAACTCAAAGTCTTGCCATCCTGTGAGATATTCATTTCGTTTATCAACGGCTATTATCCAAATATCTTGGTCCACAGATGTCTCGATCAAAAACGAATATTTTTTCGGATGATTTATGTTGTTTCCAAGCAGCATTCGCAACGAACCAACGTGGTAAAGCTGATTGAGTTGCAATAAGATGTAACGATCTTTCTCGTGGCAAACCGGTTGATTAAGTGTGGAGTCGCGCTTGGGCTACTTCATCAACCGGCTGTGGGGGGGTTGTATTTATTTGCACCGGACCTCTAATCATCACTAATGTGCCATCAGGAATGGGAGTTCCAACCGGCTCAAATAAAACATTTGATAGCTCGAAAATTAACGACATGTCTTCCAGAAAAAAGAAAGAAAAGAAAAAAAAGAGAAAAAAAACAAGAATCAGAACAAAGTAAAAGTAAATAGAAAAGCGAAATGACTCGAAAGCAATCAAAAGAAATGAAAGATTTAGCTGAAATAGCGTCATCTAATAAAACTGGTATCCGAATGGAATGCAGAAAAAAAATGCAGAAACTCAAAAACGCAGAAAGAAAATATGCAGAAAGAAAATTTGCAGAAAGAAAAAATGCAGAAAGAAAAAATGCAGAAAAACGAAATGCAGAAATCCAAAAACGCAGAAAGAAAAAATGCAGAAAAAAAATTTGCAGAAAAGAAAAAAATGCAGAAAACCAAATTTTATTTACGATTTTTTCGAAAATTTGTTTCACAGTCCGATGCGTGTTTTTTCAATCTGGCACATCAGCCGAATAAGTGCCAGGCGATAGTTTAGGCCGCCCGGAGTTCATAATGGGCCATGGTTTTGGGTAAAGGTGATGGTAATCGTATGTTTGACATATTTGGCTATATTTGAAAATTGAGAGAAATATTTCATATAGATATAGTCAAAATAATATCGGGTAATACCAAAAAACGTCAAAATGTGGCTTAAATATGCCTTAAATATATCAAATATTCCAAATATTTGAAATATGACGGAATATGACTAGAATATAGAAATATATGAAAGTATTGCCGTATTTCAGGCATCGCAAGCCCTTCGAAAAAACGCCATCTAACGTCGTGCTCGTAAATTATTTTACTGTACATTTAGATGGTTGAGCTTGAACAAAATTTCGACACTATGTATAAACTTGGAAAGAGCTTGCTAAACTTGATAAAATACATGAGAAAAAGAAGCCTCACCAGTTTGAGTGCCAATTTCACGATGCAATCGCTCGATCACCGCTGGAGTATCATCTACAGCGTTGACCTCGTCAGCTGTGGTGTCAACATACGAAGCATTGGCTTCTTCTTCATCGGCATCGTCATCATCGGCATCACCACCATCTCCACCGTCTCTGCCATCACCGCCGTCACCACCGTGGCCACCATCTGGAACAAATTTCAAATCGCAAATCAATTTATTTGGTTTATTTTGCAAATTTCTTCACATCAAGTCCATTTGTTGATTTTCGAATGGATTCATTCTGACTACTCTGCACATAGTAACTCTCTTTTACACCGTTCCGCTATGATCGACGAATCTGTAGATCTAGTTTTGCGGGAGCTGATTCTTCAGAGCACAAAAATAACAAGTGAAAAAGACAACTCTTGTGTCGAGTTGGCACTGCCAATGAACCCACCTCAATAGACTCAAGTATGATTCCATTCAAATATACTAATTAAATACTGAAACAGTCTCAAATTGTCGTCGTTCAACGTGATACTTGCCGCCATCGGCATCATCATCATCATCATAGACTCGAACGCAAACGAAATCTTTGGCCATACATTTGCCATATGATGAATGATACGTTAACGAACCGCGTTGCTTGAAACGTTTGGAGCAATTTTCGCATTGAAATTTAACGCGATTTGAACCGTGAAACTGGTTAAAGTGCTGGTTGCAATTTTTTTATTCAAAAAGTGCGTGGAATACGTCTCGTGTTTGCACAAAACGCGGCCGTGCACGGTTGACACATGATCGCGGAACGCGACGATCGACTCGGACGTAAAACTACAAGATTTACATGCATGCATTTTTTTTTACTTTTAATTTAACTACGACTAAGGCAACGAAAAGAAACAAAGAAGAAAACATACCGAAAGCAAAGAAACAAATGAAAAAAAAAAAAATTTGATGTTCCTAGACATTAATGTTTGTGCTATCGTTTGTGATCGTTTGTGTTGTTTATCATCAAAGCACGTATAATTGCCATCTCAAGAAAATAATAAAAAAATATTTTTTGATCAAAATAGAATTATTTAATAAATACAAAAAATCGTATTCAGTTGGACTTTCGATAAAAACAAAGATGCGTTGCAAATTATCGATGAATCGCAAGTGGTCCAGGATCGAACAACCATCAACGAAAAAATCATATTGCTTTTGCTTTTTATTTAAAAAAAAAGTTGTGTTTTCCTGATGTGATGATGAATTCATATGTGAAATTTGACACCAATGAAGGAATTTAATATTTTTAGTGCATAAAGTGGGCGAAATAACGCATGAGCAATTTGATGTCCGTGAACATCAATATTGGTGATTAGCAAGTTTCAATTTTTTTCCACTACGCGGTACTCGGACGCTGCGTGTACGAAACTTCGCTTGTATGGTGGATGTCACGTGGATGGGCGGCACCCAATACTTCAATTTAACACATTGGTTTTCGAAAAAGTAGAGTATGTTTGCATGAATGGTTAAAAATATTAACTTATTTCGACGAAGAGTATCAGGAGTTCATAATTGTTAGCATTAAAGAGAGAACGTAATCGAGCTCTGCTTATTGTACAGCATCACCATGAAATAACACAGAAGAAATATGACAAAATACATACTCTACTTTAACAATTTTTAAGCCGAAAGAAACTTCCTCTTCTCTTTCGAAATAAAGTCAATGAAACATACACTACTCTCAATCTCACCCATAGATATGTCTTCTACAATGTTTTAAAACATTTCAAGATCTTCATCTTTGCTTGAGATACTTGCCTCATATCTCGTACCAGAAACACAAAAATGATTCGTATAAAAAAACGCGGTTTCGACTAATCCTATTTTTATTCTTATTGACACAAAAGTATGTATTCTTCAAAGCGACTTACTGCGTGTGACTCCTTCCTACTAAACTATAAAAACATTCCGTTACATGTGTTAACTTTAATTTATAAATGAGAGTTGTAACATCGAAGAAGACCGCATCTCAACAAATATATGCATTTTATCTTGATTAACACGACGAAATGCTGCATTTTCTCGCATTCATCAGTGCCAATAAATCTATGTATGGCATTTTAATCGAATTAAATATTCGCATATCAATATCGGAATGTATGTGATATAAAACGCATCACTGACCTACTCTACATATTCTTCGTCTACTCTCTATCTCCCTATACCACGGAAACACACAGATCGGATTGTATGACAATTATAAGGGATGAATAGTAGCGAGTGAGTATGTTTGATACGCGATGCAAAATGCCGCTCTAGTAATCTATCTATACTGTTTGAGACCGGGTGGGTGCTTAACGCATTCTCAGTTATATTTGCTCTCTTTTTCTGCTCTAGTAACGGCAAATCAACATCAAGTGGAGGAATAATATATCTTGCTTAAATGAATTTGAATTTGGCATGTTATTTACGTTTCTCATTTGTTCAATATCGCTGAGTCGAAGTGATATTTTTTTGTTGTATGTAACGAATGAATATGCTTTGCGCATGACTGTTGACCACATTTCAGTTTCGGCAGCATAGCGTGTCGTCTCTTTCAAACAATAGCCATACATGCTTTCAAGTGAGGGAGCGTGACGTGATTCCACGGAATCCACGGATTCCAGTCATTTCCCCGCCGGTTGATTCTTCAAATGCTCACATCAACTCTCTCGCTCACATTTCGATCTGGATAATCCAGTTGCCGCAATTTAAGGGGTGCTGTTTTCCAACGTTCGTTTGCATCGAAGTTAACACACAGCAGAGAAATTACATATTTGTAACGTTTATGCCACCGATTCTGTTCAGTTGTTTCGTGGCACTTGAAAAGTCAAAAGCAAAAGAGCATTTTTTCCTCCGAAAAATTGATAAACAGCGAACCAACACATCTCCAATTTGAAAATTTATTTTATGTGTTGTTTTCATTCCATCTCAAAATCAGCTCTTCGATTGATTGAAAATCCAAAGAAAACAAAAATATCAAATGCAAAAAAGGCAACGCTTTATCTGTTTATTTTGATCAGAATACCCAGACAATTGACTCGTGAACATATATATATTTGAACTTTTTTCTGAAACATAAATACCTACACGAGTAAAATATGAGTCTGCCGTGAATGTGTGATTTGTAGCCAAATTGTAAACACCAAGTCGATAGATAAAAGAGTGGAAAGAAACAAAAACCATACATAAACTCTCTTTTTTCCTTCTAAATGTGAAATGAAATGGGTGAATATGTTTTTGTGTGTGTAATGAAGGGAGTAAATATAGAGTGAATTAAGTGATAAGAAATCATGAAATATTTCGCGAGCACTTTCGTAAGCATATCGTAAATAAAATAGACAATTTCCTTAACAAAACTAACCGCATCCGAATCGAGTTGTTGGAAAACAAGAGCGATTAAGTAGAATAATTCAAACGAAAGGGTCTCATATTTCTATTTCTACGTGATGTGATTAGAATTCAAGGAGGAATCCATAATTTTTCTGTTCTCTTTCGAATGTGCGTGTGTGACTGAACTGGCGACAATTTATGCATTAAATTATAGTCGTCGAGCCTGTATTTTGTTCCACCGAAAAAACGAAAAAGGGATTCATTGTGCTGGTTGGTAAAAGTGTACAACAGAGAGAGAGAGAGAGAGAGAGAGAGAGAGAGAAGAAAAATATGATATGACGTTAGAGTTTATGCGTCAGTATACCGAACAATGAAGAATATGAGAAAGGTTTGAATCACGTCATCAACATTTTTGCGTATAATTTTCTCTGTGCGGGGTGTGAACATCTCGCCGTTGCCATTAACTCCAAGTGACACAATAAGCAAAAACCATAAATAACCGAAAGACAATAGACGAAAAATGAAAGACCACATCTGTGATTGTGAAATGAATAGAAAAGAAGTAAATAATAACATTTAATGAAATCCTTAAACGCACGTGAACCATATGTACTGTTTCTTCGACTACTGAAGCTTTGAACTCGAAGTGCCAACGGCAATAGCAAACAGAAACAATAGCATCACGAATCATTGCTATTGTTTTGTGTCCGAATATCAATTTTTTGTTGTTGTTGTTGTTGGTCGTGGATTATTCCTCCGATTTAAACGGATTAAATACAAGGCTTATGGCTTATGGATTAATTGAAGCAAACCAGTGTAGACGCATTTAATGCATATTGAAGTGGTTGGTCCGGTAGATACTATTTATATACACCAAAGAACTTCGATATTAAGTCAAAAGTGTGCAAAGGATTTAGTGGCTGACCCTTTTGTGCACACTAATTTTAGCACATTCATCGGTTATTTTTGGGGGCGAGTTTTTCGTGTCATACGCTTCGATGCTGTTACTATACTGACGATTCACTATTTTTAGCGACAGATAGCACCCAATCCCTTTTGTATTAACTCATAAAAAAGGTTCACGCAAACACTTCTATTCCGTCAAGAGAAAACTAGACCAGTTGTTATGCCAATACTCGCACCAATTACTTCTTGATATCGTATATGAAGAAAACAGCTTCGCTGGTCGAAAAGGCAATGCAAATGTAAGTTTTATTCACTCTCTTTTGTGCAAAAAAATGATTTTATACAGACATTGAATGTTGCAATGAATTTGATTTAATTTTTTTTTCCATTCGGAAAAATGTTCCGTTTTTCCTGCACAAATGCGTGTATTCGATACCGCACCATATCTGACACCTAGTGTAAATAAAACGGTAAATTCATGTTAAATGGGTCGTATGCTGTTGCCGAGTTCTAGATAAGATTAAACGAGAGCATCGATCGTAAAAAAGTTTTAACTATTGTAAAAGGAGGTTCTGTTTGCCATATTCCATTTCGATTAGAATTTAAATGCTTTCAAACTCCATGCAGACATGCGAAACGCTTACATGAAAGCGTAAACACAGCTATAAACGTTGTGCAATTAACATAGCTTCACAATAAAACGGCGGTTTATGTAATGTATCATTTAAGTAAACTTCAATTCGTCAGACGTGTCTTTGATTCGAATCGATTCCGTGTGTATAAAATATACATGCACCGTGGTGAAAACTTCACCGAAACCCCTTTCCTACGAGGCTATTGCTTGCAGCAAGTGTACAAACAACATACTGTTTTGCACTTTTTACAACGGTATTACCGCCAACCCATTTTATTACGGAGCACAATTTTTACGATGGAAATTACGTTTGTTGTGCCTGGTTTCATTTTATTTCTCAACGGCATCGTCCATCTGAATTCATTGCTTCTTCCGTTTTATCTTTTAAATTTATTTATTCATTTCACTTGAATACGTTTGAGGGCCCATTCATTTGAAACATCTAACATAATTTTAATTCATTTACATCAAAGCCAAAAACCATTTACTCATTTCATGATTTTATTTCAATGAAATGATTGTGAATTTCCTGGATGAGTTATGAATGAAGGAGTGAAAACGACTGTAAAAGCCAGGGGCTTCTTTTAAAAATTCAAAAAGTCCATGTCTCATTTAATTGGTCCGTGTGGCTGTAAAAGAACCTCATGTAATATGCAAAAGAAGAACACATCGAGGAGTCAGTATTGATTTGGTTGGAATGGAATGATTGATTGACATTTCACTAATTTTGTATTCTCCGTTACTTAATCCTTATCGAAATCAACGTGTATTGCTTCGTCAAAGCGGCTGTCACATGATAAATAGAATCACAGGTTTAGCTCGTTCGATAAGTACGCTTTGTGTTTGCTAACGGAATTAACTTGATGGAGGAAGAAAAAAGAAATTCCGCTTGGTTACAGCCACAATGGAATAGATTTTATTTTGGGCAAACTAAGTGAATGGCAAACAACAAATGAACATTGAACAGCCAACAAAATGCTGTTTCATACTACAACCACCCAACTGAGATTGATGGAAGGATGAAATCGCTTCACCATTAATAAATTCCATAGATATCCATTTCGATTCACGCGATGTTCAATTGCTAAAAGGAAATGTCTCTACGCCACCACCGACAAGCGTGTGTATGGTGAGTGAACATCGCAAACACACTGTCAGTGTACATATAATGGAGTCATTTTATCGAAACGGTGTAGATTATCGCTCTATGGATTTTGATGTTCTCTCTCTCTCTCTCTCTCTCTCTATCGACGGAACGTGCGTATATTAATTTTAGACAAGCTCATTAAATATAGTCGCATTGTTCATACCGCGGAAGCAATATTGCATGTCAAAATAGACCGATTAAAAGGATTTTGTTCGAACGAGCGCTCCACACAGCACGAGCCCATGCATCAATGCGATGAAATCTATGGAATTGTACATTGCCACTATTGTAATACGATACCAGCTCTAGTTGTACACATTGTGTTTGGCCCTTTTGGTCATGATTAATGAATTGATGACTTAATGCGTTATTGATTATATACGGAAATTTTTGACAATATTTTCCTGACCCCAAAAATTGAAGTTGGATGATAAATGAATTGTTGCCGTGCTATTTGCAATTCAAATTGCCAAACACAAGTTTTATCCACAACCTGAAATACACTGATTTCAAAACGTTATTTTTTTTTCACTTTTTGCCGTTCGGATTCACGAAGTCAAGTGCGTGTGATAGAAAACAAAACTCAATAGAAAATTCAACGATTTTAGGCCAAAATTATTAGCAATTTATTCATTTTTTGCATTGTGATTATCATCAAATTTTGATATTTCGCTCCGTTTGTACTATTTATGTCATTTGAATAATTCGTCACTCATTTGAAACGGGCAAAAATCAATTTCATTGAACTTTTCTGCTCGCAATCGCTCGTTTCTACCAATGTCAAATCCATATGACGGAAAAATGTGGTCGACTTTAACGATTAGCTTACCGCGAGCGGAACTCCAACCCAAGCTATGATTTATGAATTTTCGAATGATGCAGGATTTTTTCAGCTAAAATCAAATAATAATGAATGATTTTCACGGTTTATGCCCATCGATTGTTCACTGCCGTTGATATTGAAACCGTTCAATCGCTTTGTTATTATCATTGTTAATAGAATGATCCGGGAGCATCTTGAATAGAAAAATCAATGACAAAAATGAAGACGAAACATGAAAGAAGCACCCAACAGACAGCAGTTCGTATGTGACACATTTCACTCTTGAAAAATCATAAAATACACACAATTCCATGGATAGAGTAAAATCAATCGGATCACACGGTTTTTCCTTTCAATTCTTCGAATCTCAAAAGTCTTTTTCTTTTTTTTTGGCTGTTGCGCTTGCCACTCAATAGATTAATAATGTTTTTTGGTTCTGTCTACAAAATTGAATTTTTCATGAATGTCAAGTCACTTGAATAATAAAGGCTTTGTTCATTTATTTTTTTTCTCTTGACACGCAATAGCATGACACCTTATGTAAAAGTCTGCTCAAATTGAAATATACCACAGATTATATATAATTTTTCGTGAGTGTTATATTTCTCGTTAACCTATCGGAAACAGACGTTGTAAAAGCATTTCGATTCGAAGGCATTTAATAAAATTCGATTGAAATTGCTGCTCTCTACGTGCATAATTGCCCATTCTGACGTATAAATAAACATTCTGGAAAAAATCAACAAACTAATGTCAATAGCAATATGCTTTCCGGAAAATTAATCAAAATTGCTTGTTAGTTGTGATACATATCCCACATTTCGACAATTTCATAACGACGGAATTCTCTTCATCACGTTAATGTACTTTTGAGGAACTCCTGTCATATCTTTCCTTTTACTTGTAGTTAAGTGGTTCCTCCAATTTGAGATCGTAGAATATATTCGAAAAACTGTGACTTCCTTCGCATGTTTCACGCAAAAGAACGACGTTGTTTTGTTTGCGTGCTTTTGATATTCAATTCCGGAATGTTGAGCAGATCAATCAAAACATGTCGTTAAAAATATCAGAAGGGCTGTCTCTGAAATATGGATATAGGTTTTTTTTTCAATTACATGAAGTTTCAACCGAAGGTATTCGAGATCAACGGTTCAATTTCATTTCATAAAAAATCCGTTCAGAGTCATTATAGAAATCAAAGAAGAATTCTCAACTCGTGTTTCACATTACGACTCTAAAAAAGATTGGATAAAGAGTTGCTGGGCTTATTGATAAAAATGTTCAATATTCAGTTAAAAATTACAGCTATAAACTATATTCAAAAAGTGGGTTTTGATTTATATTTCAATACTATGGAGAGAAAAAACAAAAAAAAATTATTTATTTTAAATTTTATTGAAATAATTGATTTCATTAAAACGATCATTTTGACAATCGTATATATACCAAGTATGGCATGAAGTTGCAGCGAATGGTGAAATGTACAAATCGTTGCACGACGATTGTCAAAATATGGATCGAACGGAATCAATTATTTCAATAAAATTTAAAATAAATATTTTTTTTGTTTTTTTTTTTCTTCATAGTATTAAAATATAAATCAAAACCTATTATTTGAATATAGTTTACAGCCGTAATTTGAAACAGAATATTGAACATTTTTGCAAAGATTCTTTTGAAAAACTCTTTCGATTCAATCTATGGAGGCTCTATCGGGCGGATTGGAAAATTCAAACACTGGTTGTACAATGTACACTGTACAGTGTACAGCCATAACACGGACTAAAGGTTAATAGACAATTGTAAAAATTCATAGGTTTTGATTGAGATATAACATGAAATAACCGAGAGATGGATTTCCATACCTACTACATTGGAAATGCAAACACAAAATAAATATTTATGATATTGAGCATTTGAATTTCAATGGATGTTTTTAACTGCAAATGCGAATGCTCGTTTGGAAATATTTTTGATATATTTTTTTCCCCTTAAAATTCGAGTGTTTTGCCGGTTTTTTGGGGAAAATAAACATACATTTAATTGCGCTATTGAAAGTTTGAAAATCAGCTTAATATAGCTGAACGACGCCGACGGTAAATGAAGAAGAGGTGATTAATTAAATCACAAACGGATTCACGGATGTGAAATGTTTGCGTCCATTATTTGTTCAAAGTTGACAGCAAGCGGACCGAGATAATGTGATGCCTTCGAAATTGGAAAATGTTTCAAACGAGCGAATGTTTTGTGCATAATTTTCCGGTCTCTTGCTCAGCACTCGAGTCTTGGTTAAAGTCATCACCGACTCGGCACACTCGATTATTTCAGCTTTTTTGTTCGGCTTCCGGTGATCGGCATTCTATTTAGGCACTGGCTAAAAAAAATACGGCACAACTGATGAATGAAGTATTCTTGTAAAAAACAAAACAATCTAATAAAGATGAGACAAACAATTTTTCTGCACGTGTTGATCGAAACGGTGCGTTTGATACAGACAATACGGATGAAAACATCAAGCACGATATGTCGGATATAATAACACGAATTGTACAGTCGAAAGCACGCATCATTTCCATTCCGAAAAGACGATCCGCAGAATACACACAATTTGAAATGTTGATTTCGAAATAATTTGGTGCTCCGTTTAATTTTATTATCGTTGTGCATTCATGTGGAAATGTTCAGAATGGAAGCGAATCGCAAGTGAAGCAAATATTGAGAGGTTGGTTGCACATAAATTTATTTATCTAAATTTCAAATATCAAATAAATTTATCCGATATTTTTCATGCGTTGTGTTGTTCTGACGCATTCTTAGTACATAAACGAAACATCGGCTATTGTATTGGCAGCTAGCTATTCATCGCAGGAATGAGATTTTTGTTTTGTTCATTTACCGATATTTGTGAACAAGTCTGCCACTGTGTCACTACATAGTATATATAGTCCATAAGAAATGTGCAGAGACGAAAATTGTCGCCATTTAGTTTTATATTGCCAATACATTAGTTATGGAGATTTTTGTTTTGTTTATTTTTTGTTGTTTGTAAACAAATCTGCTTATCTTTTTGCATTGTCTCTACACACTTCTTATGGACTATATATACTTTGTAGTGACACAGTGGCAGAATTGTTGACAAATAACGGTAAATGAACAAAACGAAAATCTCATTCCAGCAATAAATAGCTGGCAAATGCGTTAGAACAACACGACGCATGAAAAATATCGGATAAATTTATTTGATATTTGAAATTTATATAAATAAATTTATGTGCAACCAACCTCTGCAAATATTCACTTTGCGTCAGAATCTATTAAGTAAATAATTTTAATATGAAATATTTAACATATTTAGCAGTGTACGAGAGCTGAATAATTCCCAGAATGAAATGGAATGAAAGTTAGTCGTGCTTTGAGTTCTTCGAATCTTTTTTTTTTCTTGCCGTGCATTTTGATAAATTCAGTTGGACAATCTCTGCTACGTTTCAATTTTATCGCTATGAGTTATATTGTAAAAAATTTGAGTTGAGTCTGGTGAATTGGGCGCTGCAAAAATTCGCAATGTCATGATTTATTTTCCCATTTTTTCCCTTTTCTTCTTCTTCCATTTGCGATTTGAACTTGTTCAACTGAATGTGGAAAAATGCGCAGGATATTCAAACAGTTTTAATAGCATTTGCAAAAGTTTTTGTCCATTCCACGGAATACGCGTACGAGCACCGCCCGCATACTGAGACCCGACCAACCGATCCAAATCTGGCGTCGGAGCCATTGGTTCAAGACTTAAAACTAATTAAAAATCTTGCCAAATCCAATTTATACAAATGACATTTTTGATGATGTTTGTAGTTAAATGTAGCAATGAACTCGCTTTTCTCGACTGGAATTTCCAATTATGGACACAAGATTTTCATCTTTTTCGTTGGTAACAAAATTACACTGAGCTGAATTGTTATGAGCAGCGCTAACAACGGCAAATACAACACTCAGCTAGTGCGGATAAGGAATTGAGAAGTTAATACAAATAAAATGTGCAGAGAGCTTTGTGTGTTGGGATCAGGTGGTGGTGATGATGGTCCACATCGCCATCTTTCCACCCTCAATCGTCGTAATGGTGCTGCGAATAATAATAATTAAAATGATTCTGTTCGGAAAATTTTCACTATTTTTCCGTTTCCACTCTCAGTCAAATGGATCTCTTCTCGATTAATGGCATTTTGAAAATGGTTCAAAGTGTGGAAAAAGATTTAATTATTACTACTGTCACTTCGGAACATTGTTTCGAAGTTTAAATGCAAAACTTCAACAAAATGTTTTTGGAAGAACATTAATACGTTTCTCTCTCTCTCTCTCTGTCTTCCGTTTCGAAAATTACAGGTTCGTTGCATTGTAGGCGTCAAACCAACCGCTGTATACGTCAACAACTGAAGATAATGAATGAAACATCAGCAGCATCAAATGCAACAACAATTTCATAAAATCTGCATTACTCTCACCGCAATCGCTTTTCAAATCACGCCGCAAAATTTAATGTGCCCGTGATTTGTGGGAAAACAAACTCCAACGACATCACCTGGTTTGCAACAATAAACGACAAGCCATACACAATCAGAACGCATTTTCTGATAATGACAAAAGATCATGCGGCGTATGTTCATTATTAGTTAACAATCAAGTTGCCCGTAGAGATAGCCGCACGTTTCGTTCGCTCCATTTGAATCAAGTGAGCTGCCGAAAGTGAAATAGTGTGTCTGAGTAACGATACGATATAAATGCCACAGAAGTGAAGGCATCAGGTTACCAATGCGGTTGGATTCCTCTGGCAATTGAAATGTTCATCAAAATACCGCAGGTCAAGTGAAATCCAACACAAAACGTCAATCGAATCCACACTCGCACACTTACAGCGATTAAATACCGAAGCATTTTGAAAATTAAACAACAATTGCTGATTTCGGTGAGTGGGTGTCTTAATTAGACAGTTCATCAAAATTCATTCCGTGTACTCAGAACGAACAATAAAGTTAATTCATAAACGTCAGTTGAGCTAAGCACATCGGCGAGTCTACCGTCACAGAAAATATTTACCAAATTGAACGTATGAAATTTCCTGTTAAACCTGTTCAATTCCATGATATTTCACCTGTCAAAAGTGACTTTTGTGATTTTTCGATAAATCGTTGGGAAAACAACGTGGCTTGAAGTGGAGCTAGCGAAACTTTTGCATAATATTGATTTTTCCTGTGATTCGTCGAGGGAAAATATGAAATACTCTATTATACCGTACCCAAACCATAGTCATTCCAAATCACATGATCTACTTTATGTGTATATTGCGTCTGAAATAAATAACAAATAGACACAAGTTTGCCGACAGATATAAGCGCTACCGGTTGACTGAACGCAGTTGCAATATTTTTAATAGACAATTCAATCGAAAATAATAAAAATACACATTCAGCAACGGCATCATGTGTTTCCCAGCGATAGTGTCGTCCGTTCTACTGCTGACGCTTTTTATTGGTAAGTCTCTTTTTTGTACATTTTTTTATAGCCTACTAGACTTGGTGGGTGTTTTTTTCACTGTGAACATGTACTAGTAGAATGCAAACTAGTTGTCGTTTTCGCATCCCATGCTTTGTCAATGCAGTCTGAATAAATTGGTATTGCATTGATGTTTTTTCTGCTCACATTTTATTTGTCGGTGGTTGAAAAAACTGGAACAAATGTAAATCAATCGGAATTTACATCGGATTAAATTGAAAACAATATTGCGATTTAAATAAATGACTTTTAGTACCTAAGCTTTTTGTTCTATATTTATGCTAGCAATTGTAGTGCTACTCGGTAAAAAATAAACCCTCCCGCTTCGCACCAAGGTCTTGATGATAGTAAGTTTTTGTGATGATTGTATTGAAGTGTTTACCATCAACAATGCAAATAAATGAGTTTAATGCGTTTTTTTTTAAATAACACTACGATTTGAGTTGATCCGATCAAAATTCCACTTGACTCGGAATTACACATATTTCGTGTTGGCATCGATTGCTATGATAGAAGCACTTAATTCTGATTATATTGTTTTCGTTTTTATCGCCCAATAAATTGTTCAAAATGAATGTTGACTGTATCATGAACGCGAGATGATCTTCCGAATATTTGTGTTGGAATTGTTGCAAATTTATTTCCAAAATCATGTCGATGTATGTGTTACGGTTAACAAGTAAAATATGGCGCATATGATCAATTGGTGTACATGTTTAACATAAGATACACAATTTACTGCTACACAATCCATTAATTATGTTCTGGCACAAAAAAATTTCAATTAGAAATGAAATTAAAGAGCCAAAAATCCTCGAACAAATTTTTCCACCTTACAAACCAAGTAATTGCGAAACCTTTTTGGTGTTTGAGCATCAAATGATGTGACCTAAGTCAACGACAACAAATATTTCCGCGTAATCTACCATCAAACAAAAAAATAGTGGCTTTCATACTGAATAATTGGATAATGTTCTGCTGAATGGGGGCAGAAAAATGATCTCGTTGACATTGGCCGTTTGAAATAATTAAAAGCGATAAATTAGATTTAAGATTTTCCTGCTTCCACATCCGGCGGTTGGGCGCATTTTTTTTTTCACGTTTTCGCAAAAGTTGAATGAAACTCGAGTTAGCTACTGGCCTCTTTACCAATTCTTGGCCACTCAACACTTTTCACTTTCCTCTCGCCCGCGAAAAAGTTGTTTTTTTATGCCTTGAGTGCTTGATATTCGTCGGTCGTGCCTTTGAATCACTTGAAGCTAATGAGCAAACACGTCGACCGGAACACACTCCATCGAAAATGAAGATGCACTTTAGCCACCCAGACTCGATGGCCATGCGATAGACATGATGAAAAATTTCCGCTTCAACGGCGAGCAGCGGGATATGAATGTAATCAAATATTTAATTAATCCCATAACAGGGCAGCAAACGAATTTAACGAAGCGACACCCGCGAAAAACTCGCGACCATTCCATTTATAGACATTTCATTACCGCGCATTTCATCTTACAAAACAACCGGAGCACAACAATGATGAGCATAAAAATTATACACATACTTTCGTCATCTTCTTCTTTTTCCGCCGAAGATATACGCACACGCAACACAAATGTCGGGGTTGTTTAATGTGGGCAAATGTCAAATGTCAAAGAATGACAAAATTGTGAATATTCAATGACTTTGGTGTTGTACAAGTCAAGCTACCAGAATGATTGTCGCTTTGGCGATAGACGAAATTGCCACCGACAACATTGAGAGTCTCAATTTGAGACGAAGGGGGACAAAGTGCGATATAAAATGTATAAAACGCCTTAAATTAACATTAACGTAACAAATGCGACACGAGTTATTTGTAACGATATTTAAATTAGGCTCGTCTCCATTTTTTTATTCCCTAGTTCACTGGTCTTCTTACTGTCGAATTATTTCATCCGGTTTTTATTCGATTTCATTTCGTTTGTGCGACTGATAACGTCTTGTGTACGCAGTGCATATTACGCACAAAGCTACGATATTTGTGTGTGTTTTGTTGTCGTTGTGTCCTCAACGGCATGAATTTGTTGAAAATGAGAAAATGAGAAAATGAGAAATTTCGCAAAAGTAAAGCAAAAAAAAAAAAACGGTGTACGACGGTTTAATAATTTTAAAATGCTTTGTTGACACTTGTTATTGAATGACGCGAAAAAATTACGCTGATGTTATTAAATGACAGGATTTTTCCATTCCATTTCATTTTTTATCGTTTCTTCGTGCGTTTTTTTCTTCTTTCGTGCCGTGTCAAGCAGTTTTGATCGGGTCGACGGCGTGCGTGCAGATGTTGTTAATGTAATGCGTGAATTTGTGAAGATGTCTCAGCAGGTTTTTTTTTGAGCAGGTATTCATTATTCGAGCATTTGTGTGGAAGTGTAGACGATGGAAATTTTTTTTTCAGTACAGAAGCTTAGCCGATATTTTGTAATCGATAAATCAAGCGAATTACGCATTTCAGTCAGAAATGTTGTCAACTTGCTTTTTCTTTCACTCTCCATCTCGCTCTCTCTCTTGCTGTCAGAGCAATCGTTGAACTTAGTTCAACATCAAAATTACTAACAAAGTCATTGTGCGTGGCAGCTTAAAGTTTTCTCATCAGCATACACAATCGTTTTACATTCTTTTTCCAACAGAATGCAGCCAATGAGATTCATTTCCGCTCGAATGCATACCAAATCTAAATTTCTCGAGGACAGAAAAAAAAAGCATGCGAGAGAAGAAATAATGTTTCGAAAATTACATCGTGTCATTTGCATTTGTTTATGCTGTTGGTTACCCAAATAAAACTTTTTTGTCGATTCATTGGATCCGTGTGTTTTTTTTTGCTTAGGACGGGCGCAAGCTTTTTCTCACACTCCGAAACATCAATTCGCTCGGTCATTCACAACAATTGAACCGCGTGAAAATGTTGTCATCAACAACAGTTTCAAAGCGATAATTCCTTTTCAATTTGACGAACGAATGGCATTTTATACGACGAATAAAAAGTCCAAATAATTTAAAATAAATCATTGAGAGTCAAATGAGATGGATGGGCAGATGCAAATGTTAAATTGCAAAAACTTTGTTGTGTATGAAAACAAAATACGGGAAAATTGGATTGAGCGAAGGGGCGACGATTGTTCTGCATAAGCTGAGCGCTTATGTCCCGCCTCGTATCCTTTTCGGAATTCAATTACTTATTATCAAAAGGCATCTTCGTCTCGACCATTAAATGACGTCCCTATTATTATTTTGCAAAGTATGGTCATTCCAAGGCGACCGGCATGAAAACGACGCAGAACACGGACGACGATGACGATAACGACGACGACAGCAACTAAAATGGAGCTGTTCGAGAACATTGAAACTTTGAATAGTGTCATTCGCAAGCATTTTTGCCCACACATTGAGATGCGTGATCAAATACATCAGGAAAGACTTATGAGTCTCGAGGGTAAAAGCACAAAAATCTGCCACCAGCTCTTCGGCATCATCGATTTTTTGGCGATGTGTACACTTGTTCGAAAAGCTGTTTCCACGATAAGCCGATGATAAGGCCAACAGCGAAACACAGCCATTGCAAACCGTTAAGAAAACTTGGCTCATTCCATGCGATGATATGTTTTAATGTTTGGTCCCGAAAACAACAACACAACAAACAAATAACAGTTTAGATAGATTTGCATAAAGGAGAAGAAAAATGTCTGTCTGAAAAAGTTTTATTTGATTTTGTCCGCATTTTTTTCCCGCTTTGCTCCGCTTTCGTCTTCTCCATTCGTCATGTAAATAATGATGAAGCTTGGACGCTTTTTTTCCTGTGATATTTCCGGCAAGCGTCAAGCTGACGGATGTTCAGTTCAAGTTTGTACTGCGGTTGTGAATGATCGAATTCTATTTTAATCATTTTTTATATGCCAAGGAATTATAGTGTCAAAGTTTTTTTGGCCTGGAAAAACGGAATGATGACTCGGAACACTGAGCCGAAAAATTCAGTGCACACACACAATCGAGAGAATAAGAGAATTAGAGTGAGAGTGAATTGGGTCAGAATATGAGCGCCACTTATGGATCATCATAGATATATGTACTGGGGTGAAAATTCTAAACCCGTGAAAACAAGTAATAAAAATTCCAGTCGTTTGCAGACATAAATTATGTGATTTACCTAACTTTATATTGCCCCGCAGCTACTGTATAAATGTATGAGTGCGTGTGTGTGTGTGTGTTACACTATACCAAAAAATGGGCAAAAGCTGCAGCTGAAATGGAGTGAATTGCCAGATTTTGGTCTTTTTCGGGTGGTAAATTATTTTCGGTGCTTGATTTTCACTTAAAGGTTACTACACCGACGAACGACGAACAACGGCACGTTTACACTTTTTACGGCCATGTTTGTACTGTACTGTATGTGTATGTATATAAAAATATATATTCAATATTCATCCCTGTATATGCTGGAGCTGATATGAGTATTATCGACACATATATATGCAAGCGCGGATCCCAGGTGGTTTTCATTTGAAACTTAATGCTTGTGCCGAAACCAAACGAAAATTCATTTCTACTATAAACGGATACTACGTCAACCAACATCAGGGTCACCGTTTGCTTTTCGATGCTGTAACATCATATATGTACGTGGGCCCTTCCAAATTTCAAACTAAAAAGTATTTAATAATTTTTTGATGGGTTTTCACTTGTGCAAGTTCAAGGAAAGTGAGCTTCTAGCACGCGCGCACACACTCACAGCACATCACAGCGCAGCGCAGCTATGGCACATAATCTTAACGGAATTCGACTCCGTAATAAATGCATATCGTCGTTATATGGGATATGGATTCATAAATACGCCATAATAATTTCATGTTAAAATCATTTTATTAGGCAATAATATTATGTGTCGAGATGAAGCGCAAACGAACATCACGGAGGAAGAGGCGAGAGGCCTGCAAAAGAAAGAGAAA